AAAAATGCGGATAATAGGGAAAATGTAAATGGAAGCCGCAAAAACGGTGTCCATACTTCGACACCCCTCACCATCCCTCTCCAAAGGGAGAGTTTGGTAAAGAGAGATGAAAAAACCGATTTGTACCTTCCTTAAAAAGTTGTTCTAGCTCGCTATTCTAATATCTATATGCAATCTTCACACTGCCGTACTCTAACGGAACTATCAACTCTATGCTTTCATCTACTCCATCTATCGTATAAAAATTACCACTACAGTCTGTTATTTGAAATTAGCATCTTCAACTATGTAAAAACATTTTTTTTAGAAATTAAAAAAAAACAAGCTAATAAAAATTTAAATTTTAAATTGAGCATTTTTTACCCCTTCAATACAATGGTGGTGATGGGGATTTATAATTTGCATCAGCCATTCTGGATTCTGCTCATGTTTGAAAGAAGGAAAAATCTCTTAAAATTGTTAAAATCTTTTTTTTTATGAAATTTAAGAACAAACTGCGTTTACTGTGCAAAAAATCAATAAGAACATTAAAACTCCAAAGAACTGCTCATGTTAAAAAGGATGGCTTAGCGGCGCTGATGGTGTAGTGGTAAGCGTGATTTCACTCAGGAATCCTTATTGCCAGATTCCTTATTGCCGGTATCCCTTATTGCCGGATCCTTATTGCCGGGCTATCCGTGAATAAGGATACCGACAGCTTATGGGATTTTCACTAATAGGGGCTGTGGTGGATTATCTCATTAGTTTATATATATACACGCAAACCAAAAATCTATTACAATGAATGTTAGTTCCGCTTCCTATCATCCTCTGTTCATGAACATCGCAGCGAATGTTAGAAGTTGACCTTACAGGCGATGTAATGGTTTTTTGTCTTTTTCATTTCGTATTCTATCTACGCTTTCGACTATACCAGTAAGCTTGTAGAACGACGCACATTGTAGAACATTGTAGAACGACGCACACACTTGCCTCGAATCTTTCCAGCAGAAAAAGCATACGAAGTCGAGTATGCGAGAAAATGAGCGCTTCATGTTTGCTTTTAGGCTATCCATATTCAGGAGCATGGAGAGAGCAGTGGAGAAAGCACAGGTCTGATAATCGAAGCGTTCTTGGTTCGAGTCCAGTCGGCAATCGGATCCCTATTTTTTTCGACATAACTAATTTACCTCACTAATACACTCTACATTTTTCGGTCTCCAATTTTCTTGCATTGGACCGCAGCTAGGTATATCGCATCCTCGGTTCATGTGGTCTCCACTAACATCCTCTGATGATGAATCTCACATAATTGTAAGCGAATCTTACATCCCTCGGTTGGGTGTAGAGCTATACAGTCTTCAACAAAGTTGTTGTACTGAGATAGACCAACAAGCCTGTATCATTGGATTCAGGTTTAATTCGGAACTACGCAGCTAGAGGCGCTTTACTTTTATGTTACTTATGACGGGCGCTATAATATATGGATCTTAGGTCCAACAAAGAATATTTCGTGATTCTGGCCATATAGAAAGTTACTGTCTTCAGCAAAGTTGTTCAAGTGACCAAGTCCTTTTGGATGGCGGCCATATTAGTTCAGAACTCTCTCACTACGCAGTGCTAGTGTGCACATGGGCTTCCTATATAAGCTGTATCTCAAAATCCTGGCCATAAAGAAGGTTACTCTCTTCAGCAAAGTTGTTCAGGTGATCATGTCCTTTTGTATGGTGTTCATATTAGATCAGAACTCTCTCACTACGCAGTGCTAGTGTGCATGAGAACTTCCTATATAAACTGTATCTCGAGTCTACTGTAAAGTTGTTCAGGTGAGCAAATCCTTTCGGATGGTGGTAATATTATTTAAGAACTCTCTCACTACGCGTCGCTAGTGTAGAAACTGGAAATCGATGATAGACGCAATTTTGGAATCCAACATTTTACTAAGCTTTGGATTTGGGATCTTAAAATTACAGTGAAGCAATAGTTTTGAAACATTCAGGAATGGGAAAATCTAAAGACATGAAGAGAATTGAATAAGCAGATTTACCGTTCTGCTTTTTTTTTTCTTCAGTTAGTGGAGTTAAGCGGAGCGTAGCAACGAGCAATTGTCGTCTAGGAACTTCTAAAAGAAGCTACTAAAAGAAGCTTCTAAAAAACAAGCTTATGAAAGAAGCTTCTAACAGAAACTTCTAAAAGAAGCTTATAAGTCAAATAGAAGACAAAGTATCGATGAAATGTGCCATAAACTGTGTAACCCTCCAATTTTCTGATATTCCCGTGGTTTTTTTTTTAGTTAGAGCAGCACAGCGACGGGAAGGCATCTTCTATAAATATTTGCCTTTATTATACAGTTTCATCCGACAAAATCATGGTCAGATTATCGGGTTTTGACTAGTTAATCCGACTGTCCATACTAAAAATCAAAACAAACAGACAGTATGCTTACAGCATAAATCTGAAAACTGACAGCACATTGTATTCAAATGCGTGTTAATATTTTTCAATCCGGTATTTTCCGGATAAACGGGGTCCAGATTTTCGAGTCGTCGGATTGTCGAGTGTGGGGGATAGTGTAGTGAATTTCAGCTTTGGATCGTTATTAAGGCTGCCATTTAGGAATCCAGTAGTGTTCAAAAAACGGCATTCAGCTAAATGACCCATTCGGCCAAACGACATTCGGTCAAATGGCCAGACACCCTAAATCTAATAGTGAAAGTGCATCTAGAACACTAGAACACTAAGTTGAGAGCACGCACTATGCTAATATGCGATAAGCAATAAGCATTAAATGCGAAGATGAAGAAGAAGACGAAGACATTGATGAACTATGTGACATTAGTTGATAGATACAGCAGTAAAGCATTTATGTTACATGAAAGTATTTAGCGTGTAAGTTTCAGCTTTAATTAATTGGATTTCAGACCGTTGAAGATGTAGTTTTAAATTTAAAAACCCACGCCAGTTGGTAGTTGAAAATTACGAAATATTTTTATTTGTGTCTGTTATTACAGCTGATCTGGCAACAATGGAAAAGTAACTGCGGGTGGTTAATAATGTTCATACTTATGTTGAGGTTTCTTTGCTTGAAGAAATACTCAAGATACTTGAAAGTACATCGAGACATTGGACTTTGAATTTTTAGTCTTAGAATTTGATTAGCACTCCGAACACGATGTCTCCGGTAAAATGTGTAAAATCATTCTTGCAATGCCTGAAAATCATAGCTCAGCTGTTTATTGTTGAATTTCAAATCTATTGCCACCATTTAAAACTAAATACTTTAAATATTTATTCGATATCAATAGATTTAAAATCTATTGATAAATTGCTGAGCAAGGATTTTTCAAACATTGCTAATTTGCCATTACACATTGTGCCATCATGTTCGGAGTGTTAATATACGCATAAAAACATTCTTAAGGTTCCAGTCAAACTCCCGGTTGTTTTCAATTTCCGATTAATTCGCTGCTCCCTTGATTCACACGGTTCAGTGGCCACTAGACTGATGCAAAATTTGAAATTTTCGCTCCACAGTGTTCAAACGGTTTCAAATCGGGTTCTGATTAGCCTCCGAAAGTTTAAACTCATTTGATAAGAAACTCACTTGGCACAAACCATTTGAAGTTTATATGGAAATTACTGTGGGAAACCAAACTTTTTGTTCATAGTCTTCTAGCCTTTTTCCATATTGTACTGTTAACAAGTTCTATTGCTTATGGGAATTTTTATCTGCTACAACTTTGCAGAAAATCGTTTTTCAGCCAAACGTCAAATTAATTAGTTATTAATTGTTTAAGAGATTGATAATCTTATGGCATGATCAATCAGCTGTTCTGTGGGCAACACTGTATTCTGCAGTGTGACATAGTAGCCATGATTTTTGTCCTCTATTCTACGTACCATAAACACCAATGTTGCCTGCAGAACAGTTGATTGAGCATAATCATAAGACATCAGTGACTTGAATCATTAATAATTTTTGTTCCTTACATTTGATCGAAAAGTGGTCTTGAACAAAGTTGTAGCTGAGAAAATTTTTAACAAGCTTTTCTAAAGTAGGGTAAACTGGTGAATGTTGACCAAGATATGAATCGAAATTATGGTTTTTGCATAGTAATTCCCATATAAACTTCAAATGATTTGTGCCAAGTCAGGTTCTTACTAAAGGAGTTCAAATTTTGGGAGGATAATCAGGAACCGATTTGGAACCGTTTGAGCACTGTGGAGCGAAAATTTCAAATTTTGCATCAGTCTAGTGGCCACCTTGCAATTTTTTGATACTAATAAAGCAAGTAATTGGAGGGCGATGAACTAGCCAACGGCTGAAAATCTCTTTAATATAGTAATAAAAAAAGCTAGTATCTGACATCCAGCATCGTCCAATCAACTATGTGATCCATGATAAGTCATTATATTCAATCATTAGAAAATATTATCAGTTCTGCTAGTTAGTGTATTATTGAAACAGTTGAAAATACATTTCCGAAGAAATAAACTTCTACAGCTTCTTTGAACTGGCTAGTTTTTGTTTGTTTCAAAATGTCTATTCCTATTCGGTTAACTGATAATGGATAGTGATAAAATAATAACATTCCTGAAACACTTAAATGATCCTGAACCTTGTAGATTACTTTAAAAGATATCGATATTAGTATTCATCAAAAAGCATAGATAGCTCACTCTTGTTGACACATTTTCAACCGCCTAATTGGAATGCCATACATCAACAAGCCGTAATCAGGTTATCGGAGCATGTGACAACAAAGTCCATGCTCATATTATTTAGTAAAAGTTCAATTCATGACAGAACGTGTCGATAGTGATCTGAATGAAGCTTCCTGTTCTATTCACAATCTACCTACGCGATGCAACCAATGTTCGGCGATGCTTAGCTGAGCGCTGATAACATATCCATCCACTCAAACCAGTCTTTCATGTTACGCATGCGCAACGCACCATTATCGGTCCAGCGATGATGCAGTCAAGTACCTACTACATAAGCTTCCGATCTTTTTGCTTACCTTAAACTTAACAGCTTCGCGTTCCTCCTCGTCATCTTGAATGCACTTTTTCCTATCAGATTGCACTATTGCTCGGATCAATCACTCTGCTATCCGTATGTATGTACCGCTTGTATATGTGTACCACTTCAATTTATTGTTTCACTTCCTTCCTCACTAATAAATTCAATTAATCACTTTCTCTTCCGAATGAAAAAAAAATCCTATGGATTGAAAAGAGTTACAAACAATCAAAAAAACAAAAATTAATTTCCAGTCGAAACAATGGCCAGCTAGGTAATCCCGCCCGGCCGTTGTCGTCGTAAGAAATTTCGGTCACTGTACAATTGGCTTTTCGCTGTGGCACTTGGAAACGATCGCACCCCAGTTCCGAATTCTGTCATAAATCAGCGAAGAAGACACCCGGGCCCCCAACTAAGCACGCCGATTTTCACTTTCCTTCTTCACATACGCTCACACTCGCTCAGCCACTCCTCACTGGTTTGTCTCAGCCTAGCCGTCAGCAGGTTTTAAAACTTTGCATAAATATCAAACATCTTTGGCCACCATCTCACGAGAAAACCCGAAAGAGAAGCTGCGCCCGGGATCCACACGACGCCACTAATCGCTACTAACTGAACGGAAAATTTCGCCCAGCTGACGGTTTTCCTCGTGTCTTCTTCTGCTGGTTGGCTAATTCTTCTCTTTCTCGCACCGAAAATTAAAAAAAAAAAATGCACACACAGACGTTTCCTTGGTCCACGTAGGTGTGCACAAATTCGGACTGGCTCTTCACAATACCCTTTCGTTTCACAACAAACAGCAGAATACGAAAAAGAAACCTATAAACTCACTCACAGCTACGACTAAATAAAACCGGAGATGAACAGGATCCGTAATGGGGGTGGGCGGTACTGGTGGCGATCGTTGATGATCGCCAAATGAAATTCGCGTGCTCACGCTGCGACGTCTCCTTTGCGACTGGTCTGCGACTGAGCGCTTCTGGGGAGCTTTAACGAAATCAAAAGTTCACCACCGAAAGTAAAATCAAACTCAAGAGCGAGAGAGTGAGAAAGAGAGAGAGCGCGAACGAGTGAGATTCGCGCGTGCGAAAATCAAATCACGCGGAGCGGAGACTTGACGAGCGTGAAGTGACAAACCCGATCGCGACGCCGCGGTGGCCCGGAGATTGAATCATCAGCTCTTGGGGTGGTTTTCTGCGGGAGAGGATCATCAGTGATCTGGTAGTAGCCAGCACCAGCAGAATGATCGAGATGAAGAGAAAGAGAGTGCGCGAATATTTTGAACATCAACAGAGCGCGCATTCGCGGAAGGTTGGCGTAAGAAGAGAAAGTTTTTGTCACGATCATCACGACGACGACGACGACGCAACCATTGAGCTTGTTTGGCTCTCACGGGATGCTGTTGGCAATATTGCTGTTTACGGTACACAGATGCGAGATCAGATTGAGTACTGGCGCGAGCTGGATCTGAGAGGAAAAATCTTATCTTCGGTGATTATGACAATCCAGATGTTTTCTTTTGCTGACAATGACGTTAGTGGTGCTCAACTGGTTGGTGGCCTTGCACTATGATAATATTGGAAATTAACACTCGACCAAGTAACCATTCCCTTTTCAATCGTGTAGCTTGCTACAGTACTGGACATAAAAATGGAGACACCATGATCCTTTAAATCTCTCCATAAAGTTCGAAAAGCTGATTTATTTAAGTATGCGCAGGGCTGGAAGTAGATCACTTTTAAGTGCCTGGGTTACTTTTTTTTAATCTGGTCATTTTTGCTTTTTTTTCCTTGATTTGTTTTTCTTAGATCTTGTTTTCCGTACTGAATACCAATGCGACCGACGCCAGGGAGGCAGCTCCCACACCTGGACCTTACCTATCGACCCATCGACTCATGGACCGGGGACCACCGGCTTTTTCCCTTGCGAAGGAAGGCATGATCAGAGATTTTATGCCTCAGAAAATCCTGACGGCGCCGAATGGTATTGAACCTAGGCTACTACACCACCGGCGCCGTTAAGCTGGTCAGTTGGAAGTAAAAATGTTCGATTAAAAGTAACTAAATTCACTTTCTTTTTTCGTGATAATTGTCACTCAAGTAATTTTTTTCGACGGATCACGTATGATCACGTATGATCTCAGACAAGTGTCTCTGAACCTTTCCAGGATAAACACTCTTCCTTCTTCCAATGTCTGAATTCCAGTCAGGAGGAGTAGGATCTCAGAATTTCTAGTCCGCGGGGCACTGTTTAGGACCATCCTAAGGATCATGTTCTGGATCCTTTGGAGTTTGAGGTGTTGGCATTTGGCGCAGCTCTCCCAGATTGGCATACCGTACTCGATTACGGGAAGGATGATTTGTTTGTAGACAGCAAGCTTATTTTTCAGGGCCAGGATAGACCTCCTGTTGATGAGTGGATACAGTGATCTTACACTTGGTTTTCGTTTTGTCAACGAACCCCCTGAAAATCAGCTTGCTGTCTAGTGTTAAGCCAAGGTACACTACCGCTTTCGACCATTCCACCGCTGTGCCGTTCAGGCAGATCTTATTATTCTCCGACGGAACAAGTCCAGGCCTCTCTGAAGTTTGGCAGTCAGAGCTCCGATGACCCTACCCTTGTAAACGATGGATGTGTCATCTGCGAACAGAGACAACGATCCACCATCAGGGAGAGCCGGCATATCGGAGGTGAACAGGTTGAATAGAATGGGACCAAGGACGCTTGCCATTTAGAGAGACTCGGAACGTCCTGTCCGATAGATAGTTATTTATTATCTTCACTAGGAAGATTGGAAGACCGTAGTGCTGCAATTTGAACACCAAGCAATCATGCCAGACATTGTCGAACGCTTTGTCAACGCCCAACAACGCCATGGCAGATGTTTTCGAAACAGACTTGTTCCGTCTGAGAATGTTTGTTACTCGAGTCAGCTGGTGGACGGTCGAACGACCTTTCCGAAAACCAAACTGTTCCTCGAGTAACAAGTTGTTTTCATCGGCAGATGTAAGGAGCCGGTGGTATACTGCTCTTTCGAACAGTTTTGATAACCCTGAGAGAAGGCTGATTGGTCGATAACTTGAAGGAGAGGACGGATCCTTCCCAGGTTTCCGGATGGGTATGACTTTAGCTGACTTTCAGCACGAGGGGAAGTAGCCAAGTCGGAGGCACAGATTAAAAATCAGTGTTTGAGTTCCAGATTCAGGATGTTGTCGAAACCAGGGGCCTTCATGTTTTTGGATGATTTGATATAGGCCAACAGTTTGTCAGCCGTAATCTCGGATTCCTCGGGAAAAATATTAGGAATCTGATGGAGGCTGGTTGCGTTTTCAGCAACCTCAGCTTCGTGAGGGCTGACGATGTTTTGTCCGAGATTATGGGAGCTGACCTATCGCGGCAGCCTTTTCTTCTGGAGTTATCAGACGAATCACTGGGCCGCCGGGATTATCCAGTGGGGTCAGTGGTGGAATGGGTCTTGGCTTATTTTTAAGGATTTTGGTTAGTTTCCAAAAGGGTTTTGCACAATCTGAGAGAGAGCGGACCATGTTAGCAAAGTTCTGATTTCTGAGATCCACCATCCTGGCTTAGATGGTTTTTGTTAGGTGATTAAAGTGGGTCTTCAAGACAGGCAAGCCAGAACGTTGGTATTTCCTTCTAGTTGAGTTACGAAGTCTAACAAGATTTTTGGTAATTCTATCAAGGTTCAGAGTATTGCACTGGCACGTGTTGTTCCCTGGCCCGGGATATCGCCTCCTCGATGGTTTGTAGACAACGGTCAACGTCTTCGGGCGTCTCCGGAAGGACACCGTAGTCGACAGTGGAGTCGACACAGTGGAGTCGACACAGTGATGGAACTGATCTCAGCTGACGCGATGTTAGTTGCGTTGGGAAGCTTGGAATCGTTTGACGGATGAGCCCACATCGGCTACCACCGGATAGGGGTCCGAACTCAGCTCCTGGTGGGTCACAGGTTACGAGAGGTTGTCTCCCATGTTGCTGACAAAGATGTCGATCATTCCGTATCGAGCGCTGAGTCGGTTAACACGGTCCCGGTCTCTCACACGACATAAAGTATTAGTTGTGATTTTTTTCCACCCGCGTGGTTTTTTCGCATCACAGTGCAGTGTCCAGGTGATAAGCGCGCGTGTCTCGGAAGCACCGAAATTCGGCGAGCCCGTTTATTTCGAGTGTCCATCTCTACCCATCCCGGTGAAAGATCACCATCATCACGACGTCTCCATTGTATCGCAGTTATCGACGTCTCCATTGTATCGCCACCTGCAGCTGCAAGCAAGCAGTAGCAAACGGCATAAGTATAGTAGAATAGTTTTTTCGATTGCCTTGCTATTGTATAGCAAAGTTGCCTTGTGGCAGTGTGCTCTCCCTAATAGGGTGGGGCATTTTTGCAATTAGTAAAAAGTTATTTTTTTTTTTGTATATAATTTTTTTTTTTTTGATAATATTTTTTTTTTGTATGGTTGCATGGCAACGAAATATTAACAACTAGTAGTTAAGTAAATTAATTGGTGAAAGTTATTCTTAAGTTTTTTTTTTTTTTTTTTTTCATTTTTAAGCGGTTGTGCACCGCTTTTGCGCAACACTTATGGCGTCTTCGGATGCCTACGTTGCGCGAACCAGATACTACCAACCGTCTTCGAAAGGACCATGGGTTGTCTTTTTTCGGCCCAAAAATAAACCTTTGAAAACTCTCGACATTACGAGAGATTTGCTGCGGAAGTATCCGGGAATCTTGGTACACAAGGAAAGATTCAACAAACTGCGGGTAGAAGCACCGACTTATGATGTGGCAAATAAAATTGCTGAACACGAGCTTTTTAGTGTTGAGTATAACATCTACATCCCTTCTCGAGATGTGGAGATAGAAGGCGTGGTCTCCGACGCGAGTCTGACTGTCGAGGACTTGAAACATGCCTCGGGAACTTTTAAAAACTCGGCATTCGCTACCGCGCTAGTGAAGATACTGGATGTAAGGCAACTGCATTCAGCATCTTTGCTAGACGGTAAAAAAGTTTATCGGCATTCAGACTCGTTTCGCGTGACTTTCGCAGGTTCGGTTCTCCCAAACTTTGTTAAAATTGATGGTGCTTTTTTTCCGGTGCGGCTGTTTGTACAGAGGGTATACAATTGTACCAACTGCAAAAGGCTGGGACACTCGGCCAGCCATTGCGGCAACAAAACTC